CATATACTGCTGACTGTATATTATATCATATTAATTTCTGGCACGTCTCAGCTGTTTTTCGGTATAATAATGTAGACATTGCAATTTTTTTGTATATTATATTGTAATATTATTTAGGCTCATAATTTCATCTACATTCAAATTTCAAGTGAATTGACATTTCTAGCAGATGACAGTCAATGTCAAACAATGATAAGTGTTTTTTTTTGTAATTTTTGCCATTTAGTTCTACAATATTACTATAGATTTATCGTTCATTAAATCTTAAAAATTTTCTTTGACAAACTCTGAAAAGAATTATCAAAATCCGAATAACCGTTTGGGATAAGTATCAAATCATACATACGTACAGAAGAATTTTATATATATAAGATATATCGCTTCCTACATCATAGATTTTTATACACATAAGATATATCGCTTCCTACATCATAGATTTTTATACACTTGTTTTTTTATGTTTTGGATATAAGTTTATTCCATCTTTAGGACATCTGTTAAGAACAAGATCTTGATTAAAAGGTAAATAAAGAAATTAAACCAAATATATCTGTTTGATTCATAATAGATATTTTATTTACAGTCAGCCATTTATTGCCATTTCATTGCATGTTTATTCATCAGTGATGTATTCTTTTTATATCTTCTAATCTAAATTGATATATAGTTTGTTTATTAGAAGAATCTCTTTTTGTGTTTAAAATTAGCCTACTTGCTAGTGGACTTCCTTTTTAGATACCCAGATATTTACTTAGGTTACCAAGACATTTATTTTGCTCATATTGTAGAGTACTTTTATAATTTTTCTTCCAAATTATAATTTGCTCGTTAGTGTTGTTCTTTGCATTTTTTTGCTACGGGAAATTCCAGAAGAAAGTCCAGATATGGTAATGAAAAAATTCAGTTATATTTATTGAGCAAAAATAAAAAAGGATCTCAGTTAGCAATTTGAAAATTATTTAGACTATTATCATTGATGCAATTATCACCAGGATGTATATTAAATGTTTCAGCTACCCTAAGAAGGAAAATCCAAAATTCACAAAGTATGACTAGAATTTCCGCAATATACCTTATCCAATAATGTATATGCACTAATGTATTGCTTCAGAACAGTTTGTTTTTATACGAGTTCGCGTCGTTCATATTCGTGTGTATTTACGTATATGTGGTGCTCAATTGTGTGTTCGCCGTATAACTTCTGCGAAGGCTTAAACCCTGTCAGATCCTATTTCGAACAAATGCTGCTAATTTACTCGGCTGGATGTAGTATTATACTTTGGCGTTTCTAGCAATTGTTCGAAACACGTACGATACGGCTAGGAGTTTTGATACTTCGAGTCGGTTGACGAATATACGATCACGCTACCAGGTCCCAAGTCGTTCTATTGTGGTTGTTTTCATTTATTTGCTTCCCGAAGGAGAAGTTTATGTTTTTGGGAAAAAATCCGATTTGATAATTTTGTGTTTGAAATGTCGATTTCAAGTCATTCTGATTTGGATGAGACCAAATTTAGAACTAGTAAAAAATAGCAGTTTGCCTTAAGGCAAGCAACATAATTAACCCAATTTGAGATTTAGATATTTAGATGAAATTATTCAACTGCACGATTATGTATATCATGTACGTAGTCCCTGGTATTATTACCTTCCCGTAGGGTAAATTATAGTAATCGCAAAAAATCGAAAATGAAAATTTTCATATATTTTTACGTTTCAGAGATTTCTGAACATTTCGGCATACATTAGAAAAAATGGATGTATGTGTGTATATATATGCGTGTGCGGATACAAATTTTCGACGACGATTTTGCGAACACGGATCAACCGAATAGAATAATTCAAAAAACATTAGATTTCTACTGATAAGGAGACGTGCTGATTAGTTTTTGGCAAAGGCAGGTCTAGCCGTTACGGAGGTACGGCGCAAAAAGTGCCAAAATTAGTATTTCAGTTTTTGAGATAACGGATTTTTTAAATAAAAAATTGAAATGAAAATGATCACAATATAAAAATATCAAATTTTTCAAAAAAGTCAATTTTTTTTTTAAATTCCAATTTTCTCAAAAATCTAATTTTTTCAAAGTTTTGCAAAATTTCACTACTAGTTTAACTTAAATCGACGTTTTTTCGATAAACAGCTGGACCGATTTCAAAAATTTAAAAGCCATTCGATGGAGACTATCGTTTCTCAGTTTCGTGCGACAATCGGCCGAGCCGTTTCTTTGTAATTTGCAAAAAAGTGTAAAATTTTTTGTCCACGTTTTAGCTCACAATACTGAATCGATTTTAAAAATAAAAAAAAGTTCGAAAGATATTGGTTGGGAATGATATTGATTAGTTTTAGGTAAAGATCGACTAAGTCGTGTTCTTGTAATTGTTAAACAAAAATTGTAGCCCATTTTTATGAAACTTTTTTTGATGATAGATATCATGGTCTTATAGAACACACTGGAATATTACGGCTCTACGACAAGTAGTGTAATTTTAAAAATTCACCAAAGTGTGAAAAAATATTATAGTCAAAATTTGTGTTAAAAGTCGCTTTTGTGATGTGATAGGTCAATTAAGTCAAATAAAAATGGCTTTGGAATTAGAAAAAAAAGTAAATAAACAGCCCACAAAACTTGTCTAATTTTGTAAAAAATATTAGCATTCATTTAAAGTTTAAATCATTAAATAATATCTAACTATGTACATGATTTACGTAATCGTGACAGTATTTTCTTATAGCAATTGCTTAATATTTCACAAAATAATTTGTTAAGATCTTGGAAAAAAATGTTTCGACGTTTTTCATAACATTTAACTTGGCTATAAAGTTCATGCACTAAACAGCTCTATGAAAATTGGTTGAATTATATTATATAAATTAATTAAAATTTGGAATAATAAGCTACAATTTCAGATAATTCAGATAATTTTCCAGATACGGATAATTTCAATGTGTTTGAGAGATATCAGTTGGATATCGTAATGTTTAGATTTAATTGAAAGCGAAACCTTTATTTTCAAAATAAATTTTATCTAAATATCTAAATCTCAATTTCGGTTAAGTCGATAATTACACATTTCGAGAAGTCCATTCAACTTTCCAAGGCAAAATGGCACTTTCAACTAGTTTTTTCTTAAAAGTGTAAGAATTATCTATCTATTATATAGGTAGGTAAAGGGTGTATAATTAACATTTAGGGAAGAAGAAGGGTGCAATTCGTGTTATTACAATTTGTGGTATTGAACCATGTAATTTCGGAGCTTATAACGCGAGGGCGCCGCGCGGAATTTTAATTCGGTCCTTGCACGGAATATAAATTTTAAGATACTGTTTCATACACATTTTCAACTTATAGAGTGAAATCACAGAGTTTATAAGAATTTGGGTTATAGGACAGAGCTGGGTTTAAAGGTCCATTACCCCGCCCTACCAACGGCCAAATTTTACTTACGTTTTGTTATGAAATATTTTTCTACTTTTATCTGTTTTATTTCTACCACGAGCAAAGTAATAAATTTATTCTCTCCTAACGAGAAATAATTTTTCTTCTCTATTGTGTGTTTGTTTTGCTTTATTGTGTATGAATGGCTGAATGATGACACTTTAGTGTCTTAACGTGGAAAATAAATATCGTTCATTTTGTAAAATATATAGAGAAGAGCGGGTAAAAAGATCCAAGTAAAATCAAAAAATTCACACTTTTCTGCTAAATACAAAAAACGACTAAAGAGAAAACTACTTTACGCTAGTCCTTATTCAGTTGTATCCAATTGCATTTGAATTTTTCAAATAAGTTTCAGATAGAATTACAATTGTTGAACAAGAATAAATTCTATAATAAAATTTATTTATAAGAAAAATATGTTGAACGCAGATATAGAAACCATATACTATAAAATAACTAAAATTCATATAAACAATATAAAAGTTTTCCTATAAAGAGAAAAGCTAAATATATCTCCAACCCAACGTAATATTTTTTTAAGCATGTATGTCATCACTTGAAAACATCATATAATTCAATACTTATTATCTGTGAGATTACAAGCAAAAATATCAAAATTGTAAAAAAATATACATACGACATAGATAAGCCGAAAATAATGATTATATATTGAAAAGAGATTTACCTTATCCGAATTATCTGAGTGCATATCAAGATTTAAGACATTTATTTCACTTCGAGTATTTACCTTCTAAAGACAATATTTGTTTAAGGAAGAGTGACGATTTTCTCAGAGAAGAATACACCCAAAGTAGTAAACTTTGAAAATCGATATCGAGTACAAATGCTTTGTCTAAATTATAAACTTTGATACATTTTTATAATCCAATCCCATCTAATATTTTAGTATGTTATTTCAGGCTGCAAAATCTATCGTTATACAAAGATTCTTCAAATGAAATTTATAATCTCAAGTATAAATCTGGTATCACTATAGTGATAAAGTTACTAAAATGTAACTAAATTTTGTGATTTAATTTACACTGTAGACACTTGAATAGAATGCCATTGTTTTACTAAAATAGACCATTTATCTACATATTATCTTATAAAAGATCTTAATAGACTAGTCAGAGTATCTATATTCACACGACGTAGCTACATTGTCACTGATAATATAAATTTACACTAAATCAGTAAAAAGGGAAAGAAGTTTTTTATCTAAAGCGGGGCACAAAGGTCCAATTTGTCTTTTGGCAATTATATCGTAAAAACCAAATCAATTATATCAAGCAAACAATTATCTGACTCTAATCAGTAAAACGTCCAGCTAATTCATCGTTGTAAAAATGTGTTCTAAGAAAATACTTTAGTTATGGATTTTCAAACATTGCCGTTTATTTCCCATAGAGTCGTAAAAATCAAGGTGATGGCTGGTTATACATCTTTTGCCCTCTACTTTCAAATATTGTTGTTCTTAAAAATTCCTAACTTTATTGGTTTTTCAGATATCTTTAAACTTAGTTTGCCCTATATAATATTTATGATTTTTTATTTCAGGTCTGAAGAAATAATTGTTATCAGAGTTTGAGGCAAATTGTCAAAGTTTCTCTTCCTGGTGTATTCCCAGTTATGGAAGAACAATCAACGCACATGTAAACTTTGAAACACAATTAGCAGAGTCTCCAGAGGTATGTACATACATTTTTGATTCACTTGCTATGAATACAATGAGGAGGAGTTCTGAATTATTTGTACAAAGTGTATATGATATATAATGTATATACACTTGTGTATATATTTATATATATATATATATATATATATATATATATATATATATACATAATTTAGAAATATGAACAAAAAGCACTCTTTTTTGCACTAATTTATTAAATAATATTAATTTTACAAACGTTTCGAGACTATATTTGTCTCAACATCAATGTATTAAAATTTAAAATTTAAAATATGAATATTTAAAATAACATAAGGTGTTAACTCTTCTAATTTGTTGTTCTTACTAAATGCACGTGCCATAGGAATTATCGGCGACTGAAAATTTTTGACTGACTGAAGGCCAATTTGGTGAGTCATGAAATATCAAATAGGAATGAGAAGAAATAGGGCCCAGTTGAAAAAAATATGTCGCTAGAGGTTAAAATAGTATTTTTTGATAGGGAACGTTTTTTTTTGAAAAAAAATCAAACCAATTCCTATCAAAATAATATTATTTTATCCTCTAGCGACATCTATTTTTTAAGTGGAAAACTGATAGGAAGAAAAACAAGAAGTTGGAAGATTTAACACATAATGCTATTTTAGATATTCATATTTTAAATTTCAAATTATAATACATTGATGATGAGACAAATCTAGTCTCAGACGTTTGTAAAATTAATATTATTAAATAAATTAGTGCAAAAAAGAGTGCTATTTGTTCATATTCAGTTCAAACCTGCCTCGGGTGATCGACATCTCGGTTATTTAATTTCTAAAAAATATTTTATATAAAAGCAATAAGTGATCACTGACACGTAGTGCTTTCTTTCAATTTTTAATTATTTACAAGTTATGTGTTTTTAATATGTATTAGTGTTAATCTAAGAATTTCAAAACCACTGATCATGACGTAGAATTTTACGTCGAAACGTATGGAAAAATATTTTATAAAAATCTTTACTTTAATTATTTTTTACTTGCAAATTCCATCAAATTTTCTTCAAAATTCGAACATTCAAAAAATAAATTACAAATAGTAGTAATATTACAAAAGTCAACGAATATTTTACCTCAAACCCAAATTTTAAAGTGTTCAAAATATTTAGAGCGTCTACTTGTAAAATTGTCTAAAAAATATACGATTTGCCGGAAACGAAAAAATTAAAAAAAATGGCGATTCTAGTTGTAATTATTTGAAATCGATGTTAACAATGGATTTTCCAACTCCTAAAATCCCATATTAAAAAAAAAACTATATTTTAACTTTAACTGTCTCGAAATTCACTTCCGAGGTCCGAAAATATCTTAAATATTTAATTTTAACTAACAATTTATAATAGGGCGACGTACCTGCAAATTCAATTCAAAAATCATTGTAAGTTGATATTTAAATATATGAACAAAAATTTTTGTTTGAATTTTCGCACTCGCGAAATACATGTTTGAGTCGTGGTTTTTTGGAAAAAGTTTCTTGAAATGACCCATAATAAAAGCACAATGTACCATGTACCCCCATGTGTTTTTGCGGCTTCTAACACAGATATATATATATATATATATATTATATATATATATATATAATATGTATAATATAAACTTACCAGAAATCCGTAGGCGGTTAGTAGATAGGGGCGATGGAGAACGTGAACGTATCTATTCATTACTAAGGCGTCGAGTGTGCGGTTCAATCCACGGAGCTGTGAATGGGGTTTAATAATTAATAGCATCATTCAAAATTCATTCATTATAATATATATAGATATTACATTATATTATACGTTGTTCTTAACGTCCAGATAATTATTGAAAATTACTATATCCGGATAATGATAACTTCCAGATAAGTATTAGTAGTACAAGAAGTATTGTACTATATCCGGATAGTATACTTTTTCTTTCCAACAAGTGACGAATATATGTTTGATATTAATGATAAATAATAATGGATAGTACGCACTGCCCTAGGGCAGGTTTGTGAGCTGAGTTAAACTCCAACTAGATTTAGGGAAGAATAGTCTGAGAGATTACCCATAGCCATTTTACATCGCAAGTATCGAAAATGAACTATTTTCAGTTGGAAACATATATTTTGAAGTAAAAATGAACATCGCTATGTTTGAGATAAAATTTATAACCAAAAAAACAAAACCATAGTATAGCACTATCCTTTGTAATATAAACTTTCACACTGTAATATATTTGTAACACTTATTACAATTTTATTGACTAATCTGTAAACTAACTTTTGATATAACAAAATGAAGATTAAAAAAAACACTTTATATTACTAAGATTACTTTGATTACTACATGGATCATCTACAAAGAGACAGACATATCTACAATTCAAGAACAAGTAACAATGGTTGCCAACGATTTTAAAAACATAATAGACGTCCATCCTAACCAATTAGCAAGTCAAGTCATGCAAGCATAACTAACTATAATAGTTTTATTTTTCTATATTTTATTGTTTGGTCTATATTTTGTTTTTATTATTTTTGTTATCAAATTTTAATCAGCTCTAGTCGATGTACCACTAGATGTATCTACTAATCAACTTTATTTTACTATATACTTGTAATCATTTTCTGCTTAATGAAATAATATGAATATATAATATAATATAAACAGATTTCAAAGTGAAATTGAATTAAAAATAACTTTGATTACTAAGATTGTGTATGGTTACATTCTAAACGCCGTCGCAAATGTAGTTGTTTAGCTTTGTCTTTTGAATAAATTTTCAAAATGTAGTATTTCCGGGTTAAATTAAATCATGATCGAATATGTTAATGTATGCTTTTGAATTATTTCGGATATTTCAAATGGTTTTTATATTGTTAAAAGCATTTTATAAAATTTTGTCCTGTTTCACCGATATAGATCGAGTCGCAATCTGCGCAATTAGTTTTCTAGGACGTTTGATGGCGAAAAGAATTTTGCTCTGTTAAAAATAACACAAGTAATGGTGCTGAAATTTTTGACTTGTTGAAAATCTGATTTATAAAATAGTTTTTTTGGAGAAAAATAAAGATCCTTAATTTATGGCAAACAAATGACATCAGATTTTATGTCTCTAATAAAAATCAATGAAGAACAAGAATGAGGTAAATTGACGAACACTTATAATCTTCTTAATCAAAATCATTTTTAATGTAAGCACCTGAATACTTCCGAATTGCCTCATTATATACTATTTACATCTACTATCTAAAAATCTATTTCCAGCTCACTCGTGGCTATTTGTAATTTAATTTCCATGTATGTTTTCAAAACCGCAGAAACCACATAGACATGGAAAATCCATGTCTGGTGAAAATGACAGATTTTCCATCTGCGTCATGCTTAAAACATGAGATTAAATGCTGTATGTACTTCCATGCATTTTAAATTACCTTAAATTAAATTTTTGGCTCATAGCAAAAATTAAACAAGCGAAAACATCAAGAGTCATAAAGCATACTTTATGACATAATGAGAACATTTTATGGCAATAAATGATTTAGGGTAAAAATCATAGATTTACTAGGATTGATATATTGATAAAACAATTATTTAAAATTGAATATTATTATGTAATGTACCACCATTATTATATTTTTTTATTAACGATACTATTTTAAAGTAGAGGGCAAAAGATGTATTATTTTATTATTAACTTTCCGTAGGGCAAGTTATAGTAATTGCAAAAAAATCGAAAATGAAACTTTTTATATATCTTTACGTTTCAAACCTTCTGAACATTTTGGATGCCTTAGAAAAAATGGATGTATGTGTGTGTGTGCACGTGTACGTGTGTGTATACGGATACAATGTTTTTGATTTAATAATTGAAATTCATTGCATTAATTAAATAGTGTAGATATTATTTCCTAAAACCTTTTTAAAACAAGTAGTGATTCTTTTTGCTCCCTGACGCCTGGGATAAAAAAACAGGTGACAAATTTTTGAAAAATAGCCTAAAAGCATATTACAATGATAAATTAGAAGGGACTTTTATTAAATATATATAGTTTTATGTTCGTATAAAATATCGAAAAGAAATTAGGCTACCTATTATTCTATAAGACAAATTTATCAACTCAGGTACATTAATTTTTCAATTTTCGCTAAGAATTTATGACTTTCAGTCACTAATAATGTTATTTTTCTCAGTTTAAATTGAGCAAGTATTTTTGAGACTAGTTTTCTAACCTCTCTAATGCAATTGTATAATTTAAAGTAATAGTTAGAGGATAAACTAGATAATCCTGTAGAGCTAGATTTACATTTAGATTCAAGAGACCGCAGAATAAAGCAAGTCCTTGTTAATTAACAGGATGAATTGTTGTGATGTAACCTAAAGTTTTTTTACAACGATCTTAGAGATCTAAACAGATTTGTACGTATATATATATTAGGGTAGTCCTTAATATAGACATTTTCGAATTTCCTTGCTCCTACGGCCTCAAATGCTTCCAAACTGATGAAAAAAAATCTTCTATAAGTTTTTGCTCTCAATATTGTCTTTTAGATATTGCGCAATTCAATTAAAGTTATGGAAATAGCATGGGAAAATTTTCAAAAAATTTCAAAAATTTCAATATAGGATGATACGAATTGTCGCTTTTAATTCATTTGTCGCTAAGTTATACCTAAAAAACATTATTAAATTTTCGAATTTTTTTCCATGCTATTTCCATACGAAGCTTTGATTGAATTGCGCACTATCTAAAAGTTAATATTAAGAACTAAAACTTTTAGAATTTTTTTTTATCAATTTGGAAGCATTTAAGCCCCTGGAGGCAATAATATTTGAAAAAGTCCATATTACTTCTACTTCTACTAGTACATATATATATATATATATATATACGAGTATATATATATATATATATATATATATACATGTATATATATATATATATATTCATTATAACACTAATAAAATCTTGGTTGAAAGTAACTGAAAACATCTCTATTTTTAA